ATTTATCTATGGATTTACTCATTTTAAAACCTGGGAAACACTCTAATAATAAAAAAACTAAACCCTAAACCAACCTTGGGGCACTCCTAACATAACTAGGGGGCTCATAAAATGACTGGAGACGCTCTAAAAAAAAAACCGCCACCCTAACCCCTAAACCCTAAAAACAATAGCTAAGCCCTAAAAACAATAGCTAAGTAGGGGACTCCTAACATAACTAGGGCTCCTAACATAATTAGGGAACATAGCGAAGTAGAAAGATAAAAAAAATCAATTTGTTAAAGTCAAAATTATAAAAAAAAAAGAAATGGTCTGAGCTGGATTCGAACCCGTGCCCTTCCGTGTATCCAACCCAGCGCCTTCTCCACTGTGCCACCACGATCCTACTGCCTTATTGAGGCTGATTGTCATCTTTATACGTCACTTTATTTCTATATTCCCTGCCGTAAAAATAGCTGTATACAATGAGATTACGGGACCGTAAAAATAGCCACTACGTTGTCGCTTTCTACTTTCCTCCTCCTCCTCTTTCACTCTCTCACTTTATTAAGACACATCTTGATGAATTCTCCAACAGGTTAACAACAATTTCAACATTACACTTTTATACTGTAGGGCTCCTTTTTTTGAGGGCCGTAATTTTTGCGATTTTTTGAAGCTTCGCAAAAATTACTTCTGCAAAAATCAAATTATTATGGTACAAGATGGCAGACAGCATAAATTCGCAAAACTTAAATCCACAAATACCGGTAGATTTTTAGGCCAATTCATGAAATTCACAACCCTCAAAAAAGGCTCCCTACAGTATTTACTGGTATTTTATTATTACATGTAGGTAACTGCTACCAAGTACAATGTACTACTGGTGTTACTGTTACTAATACAAATCTCCAGTCACTAGTCTTACCTGGAGGCGGCAGTTCTAACCTGATATACAATTATCTCTATTTCATTGTTTTTCTACGTATGCTCCTCCTGTTATCAGGAGATGTTGAACTTAATCCTGGTCCTGTAACAGGTAATTAAATGTGTGCATTTAATGCAACACTTGTTAATTTGTACATTATATACTGCAGGTAATCCAAAAGATATATTAAGGACTCATGCTAGTAAAATATCTGATATAATCTCACAGAATCTTTACAAAATAACAACTGATTTACATGCTAAAGGATTGATAACACAACAAGCTTTTGATGAAGTACTCTTAGTGGGAGTTATGACTGACTATACTAAAACTATGAAACTAATGAGTGTATTATGTAGGTGTTATATATTGATATATTATTTTGGTATTGATTCCTATTATTATTTTCTAAGGCATTTTGATTACAGTTATTTCTAGTATTATTATTATTGTTATTATGATTATTATTACTACTATTGTTATTACAATGATTATTATTACTATTATTAATTATTATTATTATTGCATTGCTGTATGATGTTATTTCTTTTCCTTCTAGCTGATGCTTATGATTTACTATGCTTATTAGTTCATGTATACTGATTCTGATTGTTGTGTAATGTTTTGTCATTGTGATGTAATATGATGTAATACTGTTTGTATATAAGTGTATGCTTTTTTCATTTTTGTCAGAAGAGATTTTAGTAGTGATGGGCGGTACCAGATTTTTCTATTTCGGTTCGATACCGAGTACTTCCATTGAAAGTATTGATGGTACCGAGTACGGTTCCGAGTACATGTTTATACATTTTCAGATCTTTACATTTTTATTGATTAAATGAATTTAAGTCATTAAAATGAGAATGAGTGAATAATTGTAAAATGAATAAGTGATTAAATGAGAATAAATGTAAGTGATTTGCAGAAAAGTCTATAAGTTATTGTTCAAAAAAAGAAGTAAATCAATGTTCTTTGGCTTTAGCCTATTTCGTCTTTCTGATACCAATTGCCCTGCCTTAGAAAATAACCTTTCTGATGGAACAGAGGAGCCAGGTATGCATAAGTATTTTTTTGCTATCTGCATGAGCCTGGGAAAACGATGTTGATTTTCTTTCCACCAAAGCAGTGGATTTGAGGAACGAGGAATTATTGGTTCCTCAAAGTATCTCCTAACTTCAATGATGGCCTCTGTTCCTGCAGTTCTGTGAGCTGTTGATTCAACCGCCTGTTTATCAAAACTATCCCACAAACTTTGTGTGCAGGCTTCTGAGCTATTTTCAGTTGCTTCAGTGGTTTCGCTTGGGATTAATCGAGCTACTTCATTTCTTATACGTGAAACAGCAAAATCAGAGGCTGTAGGGCTGGAGAATGGTAGCTTCTTGAAGCGAGGGTCCAAAAGTGTAGTAGCAGCAGTAACATAAGCTCCCTCAATAGAAGAAAAGCGGCTTGCTAACTCAGCAGAGATATTTGCAGCTAAAGGAAGAGTTGATAGATGAGACTTCATGCTCTCTAAAAGGAGCTTAACAAGGGGGATTATCATTGAAACTGACACATACTTGTCCCCAGATATGTTTTCTGTTGCCTCTAAGAAAGGCTTCAGGACAATGAGGCAATTGGAAATGAGTTCCTTATCTTCATTTTTCAGACACAGATGGTTCTGCCCAAGTAGACACAAGGCAGTTGTGATGGCTTCAAATTGTTCATGTATCCTGGTAAACATCAGGTAAGTCGAGTTCCATCTGGTGGATACTTCTTGTACTAGTTTGTGGTCTGAAACATTTAGTTGCTTCTGGACTTCTTTTAATTTTTCTGATGACTTCACACTTCTATGGAAG